TTAAAGTGAAGTGCGATTGGAGAGGCTGCAAAAACAGTTCATAAGCCTGACACAATAACTGTTCTCTTATAGACAGAAGGCTGGGCTGAGCCCCTGCTTCACTGGCCTGAAAATCTATTGGTGGGGAAGGTCAGGGACATCCTTCACTATAAGCTTCAGACCCCAGATGTGGCTCCTGAGTCACACATTTTCATTGTAGAAACCTGAAGGCCCTGTTTGAGTCACTGCCTGGGTCGTGGGCACACACTGCAAGCAGCATTGCCTGTGGTCACTACGCGCTGGACATTGAGAGAGTGAAATCCCGTCATTTTCAGGAACCTGGCTGGGAGATGCCCAGGAGCCGTGAGAACCAGATTTCTACAGCCGATGTCCCCTTGCACCCAAGGAATCCCAGTAGGGGCTGCAATCCCATGGCTCAGGCAGCGTGGCTGTCTATGTCCATGGTGACAGAGCAAACTGTAATGGGGAACAATGAACTGATGAATGCACTTGCGTATTGCCGATTGGGAGATGCAATACAAGTTGCCAAGTGATGTCTAGAAGGAGCTAATAGCAAGAAAGCTCAAGGCACTGTGAGTTTCACCCCCATAGTACAGCACTGTCTCCCAAGCCAAACAGCTACAGAGCTAGCTGCAGGTGGTAGGAGTTAGAGGGAATGGCTTCTCTCATAATATGACCACATCTCCTGCAGTGACCTTCACTCATCTGGAAGTAGCTGGAACACTCCTGTACACCCTTTCTCTGTAGAGTGCTTGAAGATGCTGAAGACCCTTTGCATATGCTGCTCGCTCATCCACAACTGCAGCACGTCCCCCCTCAACCCCCACCCGAGATTTAAGTCTCTGATTCTGCTGCTGTTGCTCTTCCTGTCTTCTCCTCCCTTTCCTTTGTCATCCTCTGAGTCTTATCAAAGGCAGCTGCTGGGATCACTGATTGCTGCATTGGGAAGGGAATTACTGCGCTTTGAAGAAATAGTAGGACTGAGAAACATGATTTGCATCTGGCACCTCATCATGATCAATGGTAACATGAGGGCTTTAGCAGGCTACCCGTATCTCAGGTGAAGGACAGCCCTGCCATCTCCTGGACACAGAGAAGTGTGACCTTCATAACCCATGACTGGTACCCTGCTTTCCAGGTGCTGAAATGTGCAACATATTTGTGTTCTTTATCTTAATATTGCTTTGCAAATAGGACAAATGTGTCAAATTGGACAATGTAAACTTATTTGTTCTTCATTACGTCCTGCAATGCAGACTTACCCCCTGCGAAGCAGCCTTTACACATTGCAAGGTTCAGCCTACATGATGGCATCCATCCCCAGGTTGTTGACTCTCATGTACGCAGGCCCGTGAATGGTCCAGTGTAAACGATCAGATATTGATTCACCTGCAATCCCCGTCCCCCCCACCAACACCAACCCACCCCAAATCTCCACCTTCAGCACTGCTTCACTCCCCTTCTTGTGAAAGATTCATTAATGAATGGAAATAGTTGGGAGACAAGTGTTTGTTGCTTTTAAACCTTAATTGCCTTTAATGTCAGGGATGATTTTGAAAATTCAATGAAAAGACCTTCAGCGATTGCTCACACAATAGCTTTTGGCACTTTCAGTTTCAACATCTTGTTATGAGTGTGTGTTGGCTCTGCCTAAACATGTGTGAACATAACTGGGGCTCAGCCCTTTTGCAACACCCCAATTTAGAAAGTGACTTGGTGCAAGGTGGTGGCCGTTAACATTGATATTGAGCCTTTCAGTTTCTACCCTTTCCCACCACATCAATATTCTACACTCCCATAACTTTTGATGCTCTTCTCCTTTCATCTAACGTCACTCTGTTCTTTCTCAATATCCCATTTAGACTATTGGTCTTTTCACCTTCTCTTTTGATATTTCTGCTCTTCCCTGATCTCACTCCCATTGAGACTTACACCCCCATCATTCAGTTCCACTGCTCTTTCTCCCTCCCCAAATCACCAAATTATCCAATGGTGTTCCCCACCCTTAATATCTAGCTCCCACCCTTTGTAGTTCCTATTGCCTCTCTGAATGTTACTCTCCTCTTCTGACTTCCAGTTTTCTCTCCTCATTCCCTAGGATATCACCCCACCCCCACCAGTGTTCTCCACCAAATCGTGCCCTTTAAATTCCATTCCCCATCTTTCCCTTTGCCCCAGTCCACCTCCCTGTTTTCCTTTTCTGTTAATTCCCCCTTTCAGGTTGATTCCCCCTTTTAGGCTAATCTTCCATTAAAGTTGCTCCCCCTTTAACTTTGATCCTTGTTTGACTGTCTGGATATTAGCAAGGGTGGCTGTTCGCTTGGGTTTGTTAGTGGGCCCGTTAAGTCTTCACCCTGAACACTGTCCCTGTTTAACAACAAACTGCCAGACTGCATCTCAATGAGAGTTCTGATGCATTCATGAACATGGAGAGGCTTCAGCCCTTGCACTGTTAGTGTTTGTGTAAGTAAATAGTTTTTGTTGAGGGTGCTATGTTAGTGAACTTTTTTACACTTCCGAGGTTGAAGGAAGCAGTGAGTGCTGCCAAGTATATAGGGATTTTGCACAATAATATTTCCCCATTTTCAGTGACAAGATTGCATTAATGAACACAATTCCAGTGGGCCAGGGTGTTAATGGGTAACCATGACATGCTGATGAAAACAAGAGGTTCCTGCTAATTGCAGTCATGAAAGCCAACCTTTCTGCTTACTGCTTTAGAAAGGTTGCGTGCAAAATCTGAATGGCCATTACAAATTGTTTCCAGTGCAGCATGGACCTATGACACCAAATTCTGGGAAATGGGAAATTTAGCCCTTCTGCCCTATTCCATCATTCAGTGATTGATCTGCAATCTAACTCCATATTCCCACTTTTCCCTGTGTCCATTAATACCTTTAATTAACGAGGGTCTGTCAATTTCAGTTTTACATTCAATTACAGATCTTTCATCAATTGCTACTTCCAGAAATGATTCCCAAACTTCTACCACCCTTTGTATCTAGCAGTTCTTCCGAGTTTCACTCCTGGAAGGTGTGGCTCTAATATTTGGATGATGTCCCCCAGTCCTAGTTTCAAAAACACTGGTGGAAATTTTTTTTCTCTTTATCTACCCTGTCCTTTCTCCCCTAATATCTTTTAAACTGTGATCAAATCATTCCTTAACCTTCGATATTCTCTGAGCAAATAATGCTTGCATTTGTACTCTTTTGGAGTCCAGTTATCATGCTGGTAAATGCCTGGAAATAGGATTAAGATTCTACACTGTATTGCATTGACATCTGGAAAGGTTTTTGTGCAGAGTGGATGGTCTGGTTGGTTTTAGGGCTAAGAGAGATCCTCTTGTACTGTGTATCCAGCTGTTTTATGTTTACCCTGCTGTACTTATTATTGACACTGAAGGTGAGGAAGATGTGAGACATAGCTGGTTGTGTTATCCATAAAGAACTAGGAACCAATTACTTGTATTAGTGTTCCAGTGGGCCACATTCATGGCTGCACTGGAGAGTCTTGCATCAGGTTACATGACACTGACCTGGACATACTTCTAGCCTAGCAGCATGGTAGAGTGAATACAAGACAAGGAGCTCTGAACTTTGAAAGCCTAAGTATGATATTTTCTATGGGAACCAGAAAACATAACAACAGGATTTCAACTTTGCTGTAGCTGCAATGATAATTAATGTATGTTCCAGACATAGTGAATTACTGTTGTAATGGCAATGACAATATATGTCATATTAGTTCATAGAAACCTTACAGTGCGAATAGAAGCTGTTCAGCCCATAGAGTCTGCACCAATCCTATCCCCATAACCTTATATTAACAATGGCTAATCCACCTAGCCTGCACATCCCTGGACACTATGGGCTTGCACATCTTTGGACTGTGGGAGGAAACTGGAGCACCCAGAGGAAACCCACACAGACATGGGGAGAACGTGCAAACTCCATACAGAAAGTCGCCGGTCGGTGGAATCGAACCTGGGTCCCTGGTACCTCTGGTGAGGCAGCAGTGCCAACCTGTGAGTTACCGTGGCACTCTAATTTCTAATATTTTAGATCTCTTATGTTTAGAAGCTCTACATTCCAAGATTATCTTGTTCTGTTCTCCTAACTGGATATACAATGGAGGCTGTGCCAATGTTTAATGGCAACGTTGGGGTGGCATAGTGGCTCAGTGGTTGGCACTGTTGCCTCACAGCACCAGGGACCTTAATTTGATTCTAGCCTCGGGCGACTGTCTGTGCTGGGTTTGCACATTCGTCCCATGTCTGCCTGTGCAGGTTGAGTGGATTGGGCATGCTAAATGGTCTATAGTATGCAGGCTAGGTGGGTTAGCCATGGGAAATGCAGGGTTATAGGGGGAGGTGGATCCGGGTGGGATGCTTTTCGGAGGGTCAGTGTGGGCTCGAAGGGCCGAATGGCCTGCGTCCACACGGTACGGATTCAATGAACATTTAGAATCTAGCATCACCTACATCTTAACCAGAATACCCCATTTCTGTGTGTAAATACTCCTTAGGCTTAATATACCCTGTATCAGCAAAGCCTGCCAACTTTGCAAATTTAGTCACAACATCAGAGGAAAATGTAGCAGGTGTCCATTACACGATTTTAGGATTCAGTCAGGAGCGACTACAGAATTGCATGACACATTTTCCCCAAGCGTGATCCACCTCTCGAATACAGCAGACTGAACATGATTCGCGTTTCAGTGCAAGCTGAGATTCAGCTATTTAGTCTCAAAGGTTTTTCTTTTCTTTAAACTAAATAAAACCCCTTTTCTCTACAAGGCAAGGTGAATATACGGCGAGGGATGGGGCTAGGGTGGGGGGTGCTGAAACTTTATTATGCAAAGCCCACCCTTCACCGACAACTTTCGTGCCATTGGTACATCTCCCACATCTTGCACCAGTTACAAAGGCTTCGGGCTGCCCGTTCATTTCCAACTGGTTCAATTCTCCATCAATCGAACCAAGTTAGGTGGAGACGCTTTGGGCTGGAGGGCGACAGATTCATTGTCTGATGGAGAGAGAAGGAGGGAGAACGTTTTGAAGACCAAGGGCTGGCGAATACAGATGTATGTGTAGATAGGGAGCGAGACAGAGAGGAAAGGAAATTAATAATACTCTTTTTTTAAAAAATGTGCTACCTGTGACTTAAGCAGTCTCCAATGGTACAAAACAGCATGTCCAGAACACCTTCAACTTCCCACGAGATACAGATGGCTGTATTTGACAATCCACCGATACAGGTAACTGTGGAGTCAAATTGTTGGGTGTGGATGGAAAATAATTGTTCATTGTCCTTGTATTTTGTTTGGATGCTTTGCTCAATATGTGAGCACTAATGGAGTCCTGCGGCTGTTTTAACATCAGGCTCCTCATGCAGTGCGTACTGCCTCGAGTTTCTGGCTGGTTTTAGGGGCGAATGTGAGATGCGGTTCCGCGGTATAGCCCCGACCTGTTACACCTCGCCTTGCAAACACTAGGCACTGCCTCTCCCGTTTAATTCGCACCCTGCTGCCATCTATTCCCCTCCTCCCCTCGTCCACTGCTTTAAATGCATAGCAACCGCATCTTATAGTTGTGTTCCCATATGCTGCAGACATTGCCTGTACTTTTTCCTGCATGTTTATTTCATCTGTACTCTCTTCTCTACCACCCCCCTCCCCACCTATTCCAGTACCATTCTGCTATGTTTCCATGTTCCGCACGGATTTTGTTCAATAACTTCTCTTTTGCATTTTGTTTTGCATTTTTGAAGATTGTTTATGCCGCCGGTATATTTTGCAATTCTATATATGGAGTGCAATAATCTAATAGTGAGCACAAAACAAATTGTCTCCTGTTCATTTTTCTCGACGTCTCTGCTCTGTGTGTATGCGCGTGTCCGTCTGTGTGTCTCTGTCTCTCCCTCTCTCGCTATGTACAGCAACTCTTCATTAAGACCACCGCATTGTTTTCTTTAAAAAAAACCTGTAACCTTAAGACAACGCTCAGGGTCTGGTCTGTGCTGTAACTGCCATAAATACAGATTTAGCTGTTAATTTGTAAAAGCTTATGCAGGTGCAAGTCTGGTTCCTCCACCCACACACACCTCTCTCCCCTGTCCTACTCCGTGCATCTATCTGTATCTTAACTCTTTCCGTGCTGGTAACTCTAAATGTTCAGGCTGAAATCATGAGCAAACTTTCTGAAGTTCTCGGTATCGTAACTTGTATAATATGACACGAGGAGGTGTCCGCTCTGAAACAGGGCTCGCCAAAGACTTACATCATAAGTTAGAGACAGTAGGAACTGCAGATGCTGGAGAATCTGATATAACAAGGTGTAGAGGTGGATGAACACAGCAGGCCAAGCAGCATCAGAGGAGCAGGAAGTCTGACGTTTCAGGCCTAGACCCTTCTTCAGAAATGGAGGAGGGGAATGGGGGTTCTGAAATAAATAGGGAGAGAGGGGGAGACGGATAGAAGATGGATAGAGGAGAAGATAGGTGGAGAGGAAACAAACAGGTCAAAGAGGCGGGGATGGAGCCAGTAAAGGTGAGTGTAGGTGGGGAGTTAGGAAGGGGATAGGTCAGTCCAGGGAGGATGGACAGGTCAAGGGGGCGGGATGAGGTTAGTAGGTAGGAGATGGGGGTGGGGCTTGAGGTGGGAGGCAGGGATAGGTGGGAGGAAGGACAAGTTAGGGAGACGGGGATGAGCTGGGCTGGTTTTGGGATGCTGTAGGGGGAGGGGAGATTTTGAAGCTTGTGAAGTCCACATTGATACCATTGGGCTGCAGGGTTCCCAAGTGGAATATGAGTTGGCGTTCCTGCAATCTTCGGGTAGCATCGTTGTGGCACTGCAGGAGGCCCAGGATGGACATGTCGTCTGAGGAATGGGAGGGGGAGTTGAAATGATTCGCAACTGGGAGGTGCAGTTGTTTAGTGCAAACCGAGCCTAGGTGTTCTGCAAAGCGGTCCCCAAACCTCCGCTTGGTTTCCCCGATGTAGAGGAGGCCACAACAGGAACAGCGGATGCAGTATACCACATTGGCAGATGTGAAGGTGAACGTCTGCTTGATGTGGAAAGTCTTCTTGGGGCCTGGGATGGGGGTGAGGGAGGAGGTATGGGGGCAGGTGTAGCACTTCCTGCGGTTGCAGGGAAAAGTGCCGGGTGTGGAGGAGCTGGAGGGGAGTGTGGAGCGGACAAGGGTGTCACGGAGAGAGTGGTCCCTCCGGAAAGCAGATAAGGGTGGGGAGGGAAAAATATCTTTGGTGGTGGGGTCAGGTTGCAGATGGCGGAAGTGTCGGAGGATGATGCGTTGGATCCGAAATTGGTGGGGTGGTACGTGAGGACGAGGGGAATTCTGTTTTGGTTGTTATTGCGGGGAGGGGGTGTGAGGGATGAGTTGCGGGAAATGCAGGAGACACGGTCGAGGGCGTTCTCGACCACTGCCGGGGGGAAGTTGCGGTCCTTGAAAAACGAGGACATCTGAGATATACGGGAGTGGAATGCCTCACCCTGGGAGCAGATGCGGCGGAGACGAAGGAGTTGGGAATAGGGGATGACATTTTTGCAGGAAGGTGGGTGGGAGGAGGTGTATTCTAGGTAGCTGTGGGAGTCACAAACTTCAAAATCTCCCCTCCCCCGACTGCATCCCAAAACCAGCCCAGCTTGTCCCTGCCTCCCTAACCTGTCCTTCCTCCCACCTATCCGCTCCTCCCTCCTCAAGCCCCATCCCCATCTCCTACCTACTAACCTCATCCCGCCCCCTTGACCTGTCCGTCCTCCCTGGACTGACCTATCTCCTCCCTACCTCCCCACCTACACTCACCTTTACTGGCTCCATTCCCGCCTCTTTGACCTGTCTGTCTCCTCTCCACCTATCTTCTCCTCTATCCATCTTCTATCCGCCTCCCCCTCTCTCCCTATTTATTTCAGAACCCCCTTCCCCTCCCCCATTTCTGAAGAAGGGTCTAGGCCCGAAACGTCAGCCTTCCTGCTCCTCTGATGCTGCTTGGCCTGCTGTGTTCATCCAGCCCTGCACCTTGTTATCTACATCATAAGTTAATACAGTTGCGCTTTTAAAAGCGATCAAAACAATTGTGAGGGCCTACGGTAACAAAAAACTGTCTGATTCATGTTTTGGGCAAGAACGTTTAAGTAGAATGACCAAAATGTTGGAGTGATATTTTTCTTTCAAATAGTGCTCTGTATGTACTGACTTGGTTTCTGTGACCAGGATGTTTGTTTTGATGGGTTCTAAGGGTCACTAGATCCGAAACAATAACCCTGATTTCTCTCCAAAGATGATGCCAGATCTGCTGAACTTTTCCAACAATTTCTGTTTTTGTTTCTGATTTCCAGCATCTGCAGTTCTTTGTGTGTTTCAGTGCTTTTTTTTTGAAAAAAAATGTTTTTCAGGATAGGTTTGCCAAGTTCTGAATGAGCAATGTGCTAGCTTGTCTTTATGAGAAGTAGCAAGATATATAGTGGTGTTTGTCGCAGTCTCAGCATCCACCTGATTGTGTTCAGAAGCCTTTCCCATCCCTTTCCTTCTGCTATTTGATCGACTTGAGGAAAATGGATTGTTACTCACACCCAATGCTTTTTACAATTTTGTTTTGTTTCAGGATAGTGAAGAAGGCATTTGGGACACTGCCCTTTATTGGTCGGAGCATTGAATATAGAAGTTGGGAGGTCGTGTTGTGGCTGTATAGGACATCGGTTAGGCCACTTTTAAAATACTGCATTCAATTCTGGTCTCCCTGCTATAGGAAAGATGTTGTTAAACTCAAAAGGGTTCAGAAAAGATTTAAAAGGATGTAGCTGGGATTGGAGGGTTTGAGCTATAGAGAGATGCTGAATAGGCTGGGGCTATTTTCCCTGGAGCATTGGAGGCTGAGGGGTGACCTTCTAGAGGTTTATAAAATCATGAGGGGCTGGAGAGGGTAAATAGTCAATGTCTTTTCCCCAGGGTAGGGGAGTCCAAAACTAGAGGGCATAGGTTTAAGCTGAGAGGGGAAAGATTTAAAAGGGACCTAAGGGGCAACTTTTTCACACAGAGGATGGTGCGTGTATGGAATGAGCTGCCACAGGAAGTGGTGGAGACTGATACAATTACAACTTTTAAAAGACATCTGGATGGGTACATGAATAGGATGTGTTTAAAGAAATATGGGCCAAATGCTGGCAAATGGGATAGGATTAATTTAGGATATCAGGTTGGCATGGACGAGTTGAACGGAAGGGTCTGTTTCCATGCTGTACAACTCTGTGACTTTATGACTCTCACGTCTCACTTGGAGGATTTTGGTCCCTTTAGCAAGACAACAAATGGGCCATTGCACCACCACTTGTTTGGAATGATCTGAAGATTGGAGGGTATAATCCCATCCAGGATAGCACTGGAACAGTCTAGTCCAGAGGTGCCAAAGGCAGCACAGCTGAGTAGTGTTAAGGATATGAGAGTTGGTGTTCTTTGTGTTGGAGAGAATACAGTTGAATCCTGAAGCTGTTGGGTGAAGCATGAATTCTCTTTCAGAGAGCTTGCACAGGCATGATGGGCCGAGCAGTGTCGTTTGGTGCTGTAATTTTCAGTGAGACATTTGCAGATGAAGTGCAAAGGAGAATGAACAAAAACAGAAGCTGCTGGAAAAGCACAGCAGGTCTGGCAGCATCTGTGAAGAAAAAAATGAGAGTTAACATTTCGGGTCCGGTGACCCTTCCTTAGAACAGTTCTGAGGAAGAGTCACCGGACCCGAAACGTTAACTCTCATTTTTTTCTTCACAGATGCTGCCAGACTTGCTGAGCTTTTCCAGCAACTTCTGTTTTTGTTCCTGATTTACAGCATCCGCAGTTCTTTTGGTTTGCAAAGGAGAATGAGTTAGTTTTGCACACAGCCTGTTAACTTGCCCTAGTTCAGCCGAACCGCAGTCTTCCCAAACTCACGCCACTATACCCACCTGCATAATTTGCAAGAATTCTGAAATGAGGACAAAATCATTGAATGCCTGCCTCAGCCACAAATGCTTTTTCTTTCCTGTGCCCAGTTTGTATTTGCAATCATTGATGATGGATTTAATTCAACCTCGTTGCCTCCGCTTTGTTTGGAGTGGAACAAAAATAGAACAGAGGTAAAATTATAGAATGTCATAAACACTAGATATTTATGGATTCTTTCTGTCTCTGTGAATTGGAATAAAACATGTATCATGAGCTGTGCTGTGAACAACACTTTCTCTGGGCTTGAGGGCAATGACAGGAG